GCCCGGTCAGACCATTCCTCACCCTCAGAACCTGGATGAGCACTGCAATGCCATCATGACCAGGAGTGGCAAGATGACTGTTGATCCACCTGCTCGGGAACAAGAGAGAGAGGCCCCTGCCTCGGCATCTCCAGCAGCTGAAGCAGAAGCCGAGAAGAAGGTTGAGGTGTCTGCACCTAAACTGCAACCAGTAGTGAAGGAGTATATCCCTAAACTCCCCTTCCCTACTCGGTTGCACAAAGACAGGCTGGAGGCAGAGTTCGAGAGCTTCATGGCCATGCTTAGGAAGCTGAATGTCCAAGTGCCTTTCCTGGAGGCACTATCTCAAATGCCTAAGTATGCGAAGTTCCTGAAGGATCTTCTCTCAAAGAAGCAGAAGCTGAGCGAGCTGGCCACTGTGGAGCTCAGCGAGGAGTGCTCGGCCATTCTGCAGAACAAGCTTCCGCAGAAACAGAAGGACCTAGGTAGTTTTACTATCCCGTGCTCTATAGAGAATTTGCATATAGAGAGGTCCTTGGCGGATTTAGGTGCTAGTATAAATGTTATGCCATATAAACAATTTAAGAAACTAGGCCTAGGTGAACCCCGTGCTACTAGGATGAGCCTTCAATTAGCTGATCGATCTGTAGTGCATCCTAGGGGCATAGTGGAAGACCTTCTGGTTAAGGTTGGCAAATTCAATTATCCTGTTGATTTTGTGATTTTGGACATAAATGAGGATGTGAATGTGCCATTGATACTAGGAAGGCCTTTCCTGGCCACCGCCAAGGCCCTCATAGATGTGCATTATGGGACCTTAGTTTTGAGGGATGGTGAGGAGCGAATAGCGTTTTCAATTTCTAATAACTCATCCTGCTTCGTCACCTTTGCATGCTATATCTCACCAGGAGCACGAGTCTGTCGTGTATCCTCCTGTGTTGCCTATTTTGCAGGATCCACCTCCCATACCTTCGCCGCCACTCCCGTCCACTCCGTCATCGAAGGAACAAATCAGGGAGGAGTGGCGGCCGAAACAGCAAGCGGCTAAGCCTGCTCGAAAGAAAGCCGGAGACCACTATGAGCTGGTCCCGCCCCCACCTTGGCCATCCGAGTATTCACTCGCTTGCATCCTGCCGGATGGCCAAGTTGAGTCGGCAAATGCTGGTGGCCACATTCGGCGTGTGCATGGCCACCATTTGAAGTTGTACCTCAAGAGCGAGGTGGATCCGCTCTTGAAGGCACCTGCTCCTTCACCTCACTGAGCATCCACCGACTGGCGTCCAGCTAAAAGACGGTAAAGAAGCGCTTGTGGGGAGGCAACTCCACCTAGGTTTGCATTTTCTTACCTTTTTCCTTTTGATTTTTTGTGTTTTTTGAGTCTTGAGGGGTTGTTCACGAGTTGTATGTCGTTCTGGAGTGAACACAGGTCATTTTCGGAGTTCTGGCAGCTCACACGGCCAGCCCTGAATGTCACACGGCCGTGTGGAAAATAATTTTGGCCGTGTGAGCTCTCGCAGAATTCCACACGGCCAGATGAGATGCTGGCACGGCCGTGTGGAAAGTTGCCCTGGCCGTGTCTGCTCTTGCATAAATTGGCACGGCCAGACGAGCACTCGGCACGGCCGAGTGCAATTCCTCGGCCAGCCCGTGTCGGCCGACACGGGCAAAGGTGCTCCTGACACGGCCGTGTGGGTCAGGCCGTGTGGCCGAGACACGGCCTATTTATTCGGCCAGCACGGCCGGATCGTCAGAAAATCCCAATCCACTCGCCGGAAACCTCTACCCCTCGCCGAAAAACCGCGCCAAAACCCCACTTTTCGATTTTTTCGGCCATTTTTTGTCATATTTTCACCAAACCAACAACAAACCCACCCTTCCTACACCAAAAGCGGCCTATCCCTCCATTTTGAGGAGATTTGGCAGACGTTTTTGTCGCCGGAGACGATTTCCGGCGAGGCTCCGACGAGCACTTTCGGGCATTTTTTCGGTGTTTCGTCGCTTCCATCGCCTTCCCCTCATCATCCCCTACACCTCTACTTGAGTCTCCAGGTTTGATTTTGCCTTTAACTATGTTAATTGTGGAGAATTGGGTGTTAGGGTGCATGTTTAGAGAACCTCATTGAATCTTGTGATTTTTGTGCAATTGATTGAGGGGAATGCATGGAGTGTGTTTGAATTGTGTTGGGCAAAGTCTCTCTTGATTGTTTGAGCCCTTGTGTGCGAGAATTGTGCCAATTTCATGCTTACCTTAATAGTGCACACAAGGTGTTCGATGAAATGCCTGTTTTCGTACCATTTTGTGGGGGTCGGTTGGGGCCCTTAATTATGTGCTTTGAGGGTGTATTTGGTATGAATGTGAGCCTTGAGTTGCCTACTTGTTCATGGATGTGCACCCCCACTCAGATTATGCTTGATTTATCGAGTTTCTGGCCCCCGAACTATGGATGAAACCATGGTTAGGCTGTTTTCTGTTCTTAAGTGTGGGGGTGTGATTAACATTTTCCTTGGCTGTTTGGTTCCACTTTGGGTTGTTCTTTTGCAGGACCATGTCGAAACCCAACCTCCGGCACCAGTTTGTTCTGGATTTAAGAAGGGGGCCCCACCGGGATCGTTTTCAGAACGTCCTGGCCTGCAAGTTTGGGCAGCATCATTACTGGTCGAAGCGCGAATTGGAGAAGCTCAACTGCTACGAGCACCTATCCCGCATTGTCACCAACAAATACTGGCGCCGCCTGCTCAGCATTCGCGTGACGGTTTACCATGAGCTCGTGCTTGAGTTCTACACCACCTTCAAGCACGCAGCCACGGCCGATTGGAAGGACGAAGCTGCAGTCCAGTTCCGACTCGGCGGTGAACCACGCTCTATGAGTTACGACGAGCTGGCGGATGCCCTCGGCCTCAACATGGTCAACGACAGGGACTACATCACAGAGATCGCCGAGCCTGACAGGGTGGACTTCGGGAGGCTGTACTTCAGCCTCGCTCGGCCTCGTCAGCTTCCCTTCAAGGCGGGAAAGACGAAGGCCAGCACATTGCAGCTTGAAAACCGTCTCCTCCATCACATGCTGGCTAAGTCTTACACCCCAGCCTCAGACAGTGCCAGCGCCATCACCAAGAGATCCCTGTACTTCATCCAGTCCATGCGCCAGAGGGATCATCCCCTACACTTGGGCTCGGTGGTGGCGAGGACCTTCGAGAAGAGTGCTTCTGAGCTGAAGAAACTCCACTGCACTCCCCTCATCACCTGCCTGGCAGAGTACTTCCAGATATCCCTGCAGGGGTGCACAGAGCAGGGAGGGACCACTCCCTTTGGCCGGGCTACACTCACCAAAATGCTCCTGCTTCGAGAAGAGCGAGGTGTCATGTGGATCGAGGGGTTTCCTCCACCTCAGATTCAAGAGGCGGTCCAGCAGGAGGTTCCAGAGGGTGCAGCTGATGCAGAGGTCCAGCCCGAGGACGTGGATGACACTGCTGCCGCCCGCCCCACCACCTTCGAGTACGGGGGTGGCAGTTTCCCGGGGCAGGATTACTTCACCTCCTAGTTCGAGCAGCTGCGTCTCCAGAACCAGCAGATCATCGACCATCAGATGCAGTTCCAGCAGCAGTATGCGGCTCACCAGGCCGAGTACCACCAGAGGATGGCTGGTTACGATGAGAGATTGGACCAGCTCCAGACCCGGCAGGGAGTGACTCTCGCACACATCGAGCGAGAGAGGCGCCGTTCAGGGCGCATGCAGGAGGTCCAGCAGCATTTACTTCAGCTTCTACCGGGCGAGCAGCAAGTTTGGAGGACTCCCTGGGAGGACTCTCCACTTCCACCTCCCCCAGCGGATGGTGATGATGGTGCTGATGGTGGTGACGCCTTCATGAACAACATCGTCTTCGATCTGGATTACCTCGGCGACGAGTAGGCTGTACTCGTTGCCCATCTCAGTGTGTTTTGTTTTTCGTTTTAGACTTTTGTGTGTTTGCTCCATTTGTGAGGAGCTTGAACTTAGTGTCGTTTGTTTTTGTTTTTGTTTTTTTCTTTTGTGGATTGTTTTTGCTATAGCCGTCTGGGCTAGCACTTATCCCTAACACAGTGTGCTAGTGTGTTCTTGGTGTTCGATTCGTGCAGAACTGTCCATCTTCCCGTTTGTTTCTCGCTGACTGGTCCACTTCCAGTCCCCCAGCAGTTTCAATCCGGTAACATCGTTCCTACCCCTTCTCTATCCCTCTGCTCCATTGAGGGCAATGTCGTGCTTAAGTGTGGGGGGGTGCTTTGTATCGGTTGGAATGTATATATGTGTGCTTGGAGCCTAGTCCACTGTCCAAATCTCGAGATTTGAGGGCTCCAAGTACTGTTGTTTGATCATATTGGCACTGTGTTTTGATTGGTGAATTGAATGGTTTTCGGATTGATGCATGACAGCTTGATTGTGACTAGGACAACCTATGATGAGGACTAAGACGTGCAGTAGAGTTGTGTAGGGGTTCAGTTTTTCAACTGTTTGCTTACCAACTGTGACTTGGATTGATTACTTGTTCTTGACAGTCTCTTATGCATCTAGTTCAGGGTATCAGAATGTGAGATAGAGCATATAGGTAGCCATGTGAGATTTGAGCCTGCTCGTTTTTTTCTTGCGCGATAGATCCCTCTTCCATGATGTGTAGCATTTACGTTGTCACTAGCTAAGATGATGGGGGCATAGGATTAGCCCATGACCAAATTTGACTGTCCTGATATGTCATATCCCCTAGTCATCCCTTTTGAGCCGTGTGTTATCCTCTCTTTTGGTATGAAATGAAAAAATCACCATGTTTGCATCTTTTAGAAGGTTCCACAGAGTGGGTTTTACATATTCTCTACTGTTTCTGCTAAATTTGATGTGAGTGTTGGAGGTAGTGCTTAAAAGTTGAGCTGGGCAGGTATTTGAAATATATGCAGAAGTGGTGGCTCTCTTAAGAAATGAAAAGAAAATGAAAGAAAAACAAAGAAAAATTGAAAGCAAAGAGAGCCACTACCAAAAATCTGAATAATGCCCGGTAAGTAGTGTTTCTTAGCAGTCTGGCTTGGAAATGCTGACATTTTTACCTCCTTCGCTCTTTTGCTCTTGAGCTATTGAGTAATGCAGAATAGCATAAAGGAAATATCGGTTTGTTTGACTGTGATTGTTTGGGTTTGGAAATGTGGAACCTTGTGCTATGAATGCTTCCACCACCTAAAAGGCATTTTCCCCATGTCCAAGACCCTAGCCAGTCATTTGAACCTGTGTCTAAGACCTCCTGATTAGTTAGTGGTGACACCCCATATGTGAACTCTAGCATTTAGAGGCTGTCATCATGGTGAAGAGATGTTAGGAATTGAGAGAAATAGCATGCGCATTTTTTCGCATCAAATTGTCCTGATCCCACTAGTCGAGAGTGAGTGATTCATTTTCATATTCTATATACTCTTGTACCCCGGTGAGGACCTAGTCTTGCAGAGTGTTTCCGCCTTCCAAGATGAGGCCCCTGACTGGATAATCAAAGAGCTCAGAGATCTTCACTCCATCACCTAATGTTGTCACCTTCCTGGTAGGAGACTTCTCAATTGGGAATGACACAGCCAAATAGTATGCCTATTGCACATGAATCGTAAAAAATCATCATTTAGCATGATATTGCTAGTTCAAAAGAAATGCAGTAGCTACAGAATTCAATTATTGATGGACTATTCACCTGAAAGTGAAGATGATTGTTGGTAGCAAATGCACCAAGGCTGTTGTAACCCAAGCGGAAGTATGGGTTTCCAGCTTCGATTGCCATGTAAAGTGCAAGCAAAAAGCTCTCACGATCAATCCTCTGTGGCAAGCACTCCAAGATGCGCGGAATCAACAGCACATGGCCATACTCGATAGGGCTAACCTGTTAACAATCAAATAACAGTGACTCAATACTCCATCCCTCCCAATTCAACTACTCGTTTGGCTAAAAAGAGCAACAAACAATTGTGAGCAAAATAGAGGAAGAACCTTACATTAATTGCAACCACGCTAGGAGAGGTGTCAGCATCAACTGGAGCATCTGGGATGAACTGAACTTCACCGTCTTCGCTTGCATCAAACTGGAAGAGCACTTCCTCTTGTCCAACTTTAGTGAAGTTGAACTTGTTCCCATCAAATGGCTGAAGAACCTTGTCAACGCGGAACTCAGTTGGCCTCTTCTTCAGATGACGACCTTCATTCAGCTGGGCCATGAAGCCATACCGACCAGGGATAACCTGAAATATTCAAGAAAGAAACTTCAGCATCAATCACCAAACCCCACACCAAGAGAGCTCAATAAGCTATTATAAGAATGCATTATGCAAAAAGAGAAACAGTACCTTGGTTTCACATGCAGTGACATCATAGAGAAACAGTCCTCGCTGCATGCGGACCTCCCACTGGAATCCCAACAAATACAATGGTTAGCCCTCAAAAGTCTGATAACACAATCGAGAACAGAAAACAAACACATAACTATGTTCAATCAATCATCATTCATTGAGCTTAGGAGAAATTATAATACTTTTCCAAGAAGGAGGGAATCCAAGAATGCAACAGGAGCCTGGTTATTGTCATGCTCAAGAACACACTTGTCACCGGGAATCTCCTGCACCCTCTTGAAAGTATACAGAGGATGCTTTGCGTCTGTTTATGCAACTAAGAAACATGATCCCATGGTCTCGGAAATGGAAGACTGTGGGTGTAAAATTTAAGCAATAGAGCAACGAATGCAATTTCAACACAAGTACCTGGAATGCAACACTTTTGAAGGCAATTGCGGCCGCAACCTCCACTGCGGCGGGCAGCGTCTTCGCCCTCATCCTTTTGGTAGTTCGACACAACGGTAGGAACCCTCTTGATTCTGAGCATCATCTTTTCAGCTCCTTTTTTATTAACTTGTCTCTCAGGAATGTTCACAAATTATCCACGACCCACAAAGGATCTCAAACAATATGTTTGAATCCTATATATTCTATTTCTACTTTTTTTTCGTTTCCAAACTTATAAATATCCTAAATCCTATACTAAAAAGGAAAAAGAAAACGAAGGGAAGAGGGAACCACCGCCGGCAAGGAAGAGGAGATCTGAAGGGCTCCCGCCTTCAGAAGGCAAAGCTCCACGGCCGCCGTGCGCAGAAGGGTTGCTCTGAATCACTATATCCACCTTGCGACAACGGACATGAGCTAGAGACCGAGTAACGCCGTCAATAGCCGTGATGTCTACAACTTGTCTACCCTGGAATTATCCCCTGAAAATCCCTCCGGCTTTCCTTCTTCCTACCGGAGAAAGGAAACAAATTTAAAAAAAAAACAATAACCTAGAACCACCAAAAATCAAATCAAATCCACACCCTTTGGCAACCCACTTTCCATTTCCAATCAAGCTTCCCCTGAATCACATGCACTAGGGGGAAAAAAGAACCCAGAACAGAGCTAATCAAAATCTGTCTTCGATTTTGAGAACTAGGGGGGAAAAGGGTTGCTGCGGGACGGGTTTGAGAGATGGATTCAAGATGGAGAGGGTTATTTTTTTCTTTTTTGCGTTATGTGGGTATGAAGAGAGATGGAAGGAGGGGAAGAATGGAGCGAAGAGATATATAGAGGGAAGATAAGAATACAAAAAGCGGTGGTTGTGGGTGTGGTTTGGCCGTGAGGGAAGGGAAGGTCGAGTGGCTGTGGGGGATCTGGTGAGCTTTTTGGAGGAAATTGTTGTGTTCTTCTTGGAGTCGTGGGACGACAAGGGAGAGCCGCATGGATTTTTATAGTTTTTCCACGGAAAAGCAACTGAGCGTCTCTTTTGGGCTTTATTTATGATGCCGCCGGAGCAAGAGAAGAAAGGTCCTCCAACAATAAAACAACCCCTTTTTTCTCATGTACATGGACGAAAAATAGACGCACCATACATATTACTAATAAATTCTACATTTTTTATGGTATAGATGGATTCGAGCTTGCCCACTTGATCTCATTTTTCGAAATAATAGGGAACAAATTTACAACACTAGTACTCGATTAATAAAAGACTCGATGAAGTTAGATGATTAAGTTTTAAGATACTAACTTAAACAAAGATATCACTAAAACATTACTTAATAGTTTAGTCTGATTTGCAACTCGAATAACAGTTTTATAAGATACGCTCTTTATCAGGAAATAAATCAATTTGATCTCATTTGTCTATAGTCATTACACACATGTATCATTTTTACTTGCAAAAAACATGGTTTTATATTAATGTTTTTTATTTTTTGCCTTTTCTAACGTCATTCTTGATAGATCTCAATTCTCTTATTATCTACTTGTATTATGTCACCTTGAGTCTATCTAAAAATAATTATATTTGCACATAGTGTGAGTCTTTACTAACAAATAGTTCTCTTTATGTGCAATAAAAAAATTATTATGATATGATCCTAATTCGAGAATCCACTTAAAGTTGGACCAAAACATCAGAGTTGCACACGTCGAACTATTTAGGGGTTTTCTTCTTTCTTCTTGAACACGAAAATAAAGGATATTTGAGGAAATTGATCAAACAAATCCGAACTCGTGAGAAGGGCCAGAAGGTATATGAAACCTTCCAAACAATCTTTAACCCGTGGAAGAGGCCAACCGATATAGTCGATGCTCACGACAACTAGACACGTTCTGTAGTTGATAGGAGACCACTCAATTCTCCTGAATCCTCAAAGGAGAGATTATGCAAACGCGTTCTTGAAGAACTCGATGGATATGGACACGTTTTTTAACCTCTTAATTCATCTCTTGGCCCATTGTCCATTTGAAGAGATTATTTGAGTCCGAATAACGCGTAAGCGGTGAGCAGGGTCGCATCATATTAGCTCCTTGTGAAGGCTTAGTTGAGTCTCACTTTCTCAAGAGAAGTTGTACACGACTATAAACTAGTAGCTATATCACTCAACACTCAATACCTAACAATGCTAATTATTCCTAACTTCCACTACTTATTAATTACATTGAAGTAGCTAATTCCTAACTTCCAAGGCTAGTTCTAACAAGTTAACAATCCTTCTCATTATGTTGTAACTGTCATACCTAGCCCCCTATGAAGTTTATCACAAAGTTTTCTCGACGTTAGGCTAATTGTTAGGTTCCACAATAATCTGCCAGTCTTAGCCAGAGGCTTTTACTAGAGAACTTGTTTGTTGCCCATTGAAGATTATCCTCAAAATCATTGTATGGCTGACAAACTTGTTGAAGCAAAGACATACTTCTTCTGAACACCTAAGAGGATAAGCTACATTATAAGGCTACAAATATATATCACTTACAACTTTCCCTAGTATAACTTTCGCAAAAAAATATGTTTTTTTATCAAAACCAAACTAATGAAGTTGTGTCGTGGGATCGAAAAATTCCTCCATGCCATAGCATACCAAGGCACTTGTAGCCTGAAAAACTTGAAAATCCTTCCATATTGTCTTCAATGAATAACAAATCATTTGTTTGTTTTCCATAATACATGATCCCTCAAAAATGTAAATAACTTATCCACCTTATTTCGTGTATTCATATTTTCTCTAAACCCAAATACTATTGATACATATTGAAAGCTTCTAGAATGTAAGCATCTTGATCTTGTAACTATACCCAAGTAACCACCACGAACCTTCCTTCATCAAAATATTCCATATGTATGTAGTTATACAGACAGATTCTATATACATGAGACATTTAATTTTCAAGCTTCACTCTCTTCTTTGATATGGTAATGTTCTCCCATGCTACTACAACACCCACCCACAACTTATTTGTCAACTAAAACCATTACACCTACTTCTCTCATTCTTTCTCTAATTCTTCAATAATTTTCATCTACTTCCCACACAAACTGGCTATATCTAGTCTTTATTTCCTTAATTTTTTAGATGGACAATAGGAAATTGTTATTCAATTTGTCAAATTGTTAATAACAATGCGACAATAACCTAACTTTCGTTATTAGTTAAAATATAATACTAATTCGGACCCCAAGAAATCCAACCCCAATAAATCTCGCCCTATTAGTTTACTCTTAATTTTTATTAGTTTTAAAAGAATGTAAATACCATAATTACCATTAACCACTTATTAACTATTGATTTTATATTAACCACCTAAATTACTGTAAATCAATAGGAATGACTTTAGGCATTACGACCGTGAGTCAAATTAAAGTCCCTTGACTTTACGATTTATGAATGTTGACTTTCTCAACAGAGGGGTCGGTTGAGTTAGGCCATGACTGAAAGTTCCCAATTACAAATTACAGGCTGAGAGTCCATCAAAAGACCAGTGTGTTACTGGCCCCATATGGAAACTATCTGCCAACGAAGGGTTACGGCTGTCCACTATTACCCAAAAAAAGGAAAAGGCAAACAAGTGTTCCAAAACCAATCGCATGCCTAGCACGTGTCGCGTATGCTTTCCAAAGATGAAAGTGAAACGGCTGAAACTGAAACTCAATCCCCATACCCCAATTCACATAAATCAAAACTTCTCAGTTCAACCCATTTATCCCTCTCTCTGCAATATTCTCATTTCCATAGTAACTCGGGAGCAATCGCGATTTGCAATTGTAATCCATCGATCGGCGATCGGATTCCGTCTACGAGAATCGTTCGAGAAAGAGAGGAGGCAGATTATCTCTAATTTTTAGGGGGGAAGAAAAAAATGGCGAACCTTCCTAATTCGCTCTCCATGAATGCTCCTTTCGGAGGACCTGGCTCAAACCCTGGCGCCGCAGGAGCGCCTGCAGGAAAGGAGCGGAGATTGGCGTCTGCCGAGCACTTGGTGCTCGAGCTAAGCAACACGGACCTTCGAGAGAACGCTCTCCTCGAGCTCTCCAAGGTAACTACCACAGTTTTTCTCATGAATGCTAGCTTTTGTGAAGTTCCGAGCTTTCAATTGCCTTAGTTACTCTTTTGTTCACGAGTTGGACAAGTGTCCGGAAGAACTCCGTTAGGCATTTACTTTAAGTCGTCTCTTTTGTAACAACGACTGTCTCTTCAATGGAAATCTTTTTTCTTCCTAAACCGTGAGCAGTAGAATTCTTTCTTTCTGATTATTGTTGCCTGTCTTAGTGTCCATACATAAACTGTAGTTGATTTATTTATCTTACGGAGTTGCATTTCGTGAGGAAATTCTTAGGCTCGAATTGTCATTTGGAAATTAGAGTCGAGTTTATAGCTGGCTTCACTTTATTTCTTTGAGTGCGTGCTACTTCCCATGAGCCGTGGGTTGCTATGAACGCTGAGTCCGGATTAATGGGTTATGCCTCTCTAGTTTGTGCTGAAATCTTTGGATTGTCTGTGCTTTTAGAACCTTATCCCGTAACCTTAGTATTCTAGTACGCTAGGGATGGCAATTTCGACCTGGCCCATTTTACCCGACCTGTTTGGCCTGTTTTGGGGCGGGGCGGGGCGGGCATGGGTACCCTCATCGACCCGACCTGTCCTGACCCGCCCCATTCTCGACCCGTTCTTGTCTAAATTACATGTAAGTTTAGTCAAACTACTCAGGATTTTCATTTTATTACATCATATTTTAGCTATAAAAAGTTGTAAATTAGTCAAAACCTCAATTTATCTAATAATTAACTACATTTATCATACTATTGTTTGTTTCCTTGGTCTTATAATAAAAAGAACACATATTTCTAATGTTTTTCATATAAATTGCATACCCATTGGATCAACCTGCCCCGACCCGCGACCCGTGATAAATTACCCGACCTGCCACTGGGCGGGTCTGGGTACCAAGAAACCCGCCCCGGACCTGCCCCATTGCCATTCCTGTAGTATGCCCTAGGACATGTAATCCAGTTGAACTTGAACCTGGATACTATAGTGCATTGCATTAGTGATTTAGGATTGCCTATTGATGCCTTAAGAAATATAATCTGTCTGTTGAGTCTGTTGGTATATATGAAAGAGTTTGGTAAAATGTGGCTCCTCATAAATTGTCGGCAAAGTCTGAATAGTGTTTTACTATTGGAATTTGATACTGTACAGGATACAGAGTTGTTGTTACATTGCGGTAATCTAGTTAATTTATCCATTTAGGTTAAGAGGGCATCTTTCGTACGAGAACAAGTCTGTCTATGTACTTTGCTTCCTTGAAAAACAAGGAAGTATTTAACTGGAAGTTTTTTTAATAACATTATTATTTAAGGTAAGTTCGGCCAATCTTTTTCTTAGTCGCGTGAAGCAGTTCGATATATGTACACTGCATTTGTAAGCTGGATGCGTTACGTTTCTTTATGAGGTGTTGTGCAAATGTTCCTAACAACTAGTGTTTTCATGTGTTGATATTTCCAGAAGAGAGAATTATTCCAAGATTTGGCTCCATTACTGTGGAACTCCTTTGGAACAATTGCTGCACTCTTGCAGGTAAACCATCTATATGTAGTTTCCTTGTATTACATATTTCAAATCATATGGACCTTTTCAGGATATGTTTTTGTGTCTATAAAATTCCCCAGAATATGCTGGCGATTATTTTGCTTAGGTTTTGTTGTCATGGTCTGCGCAAAAGCCTTTAACTATGATAGCTGTAATCCCTTCTATATTGTGTAAAATTTAAATGTTATTTTACCTATATTTCAAAGTTGAGGGGGGCTACAGCCACTCGTAGCTTCAACCTAGCTCCACAACTTAAGGTTAGTCGAGGAGATCTTGATGTCCTACGTATCTGAATACTTGCCTTGAGTTAGAAGGCCTTAATACCACTATTTACCCTCCTGTCGACATGTAGTTGAGATTGCTACTGGGTTGAATGATCCACCTTTGTGGATCACAGTTAGTAGAGTCCCTGTAAACAAATAAGGTATCACTGGGGTGCCAACTGTGTTGTATAATGTATAGTTATTCAGTTGCAATGTGCTTTAAACATGAAGTCGTTTCTTTCCGTTTATCAAGTCCATGATGCTAATTACGGTACAAGTGCATTGTACAGCAAATACTCCAAATTAATGGTTGTATGCAAAATATGTAGTTTTGGACTTCTGTAGGCCTGTTTTCATTAGGTACCACCCACTTCAATATTGCAAGTGTCAAGGATTATAAACGTTTCTTCTTTAGCAAATACTCATTTTTACTTTCCTGTTTGCAGGAAATAGTTTCTATATATCCTGTTTTGTCCCCACCAAACTTAAGCCCAGCTCAATCAAATTGGGTCTGCAATGCCCTTGCTCTGCTACAGGTTATATACTTTGTTGCTTTCCTTCGGTTTTGGATGGTGATTATGTATTTATGTTCACTTCTACTACCTCGTTTACCACTACTGCACTTTTATATGCTTCCACTACATACACAGTATTAAAATAATCGTGAGTCAATTAATGATAATTTTTGCTTGGGTGAGCTGAATATGTCCATACGTGATATATGTTCACAGCTCAATCGTTTAAGATCAGTTCTGCAGAATAATTATAGTACTTTTGACAAAGAAGTCTGTAACAGATAATTTGGTTTCGAAATAGTCAATCAAATCTTCATGTTTGCGCTTAAATATCTTAGACATTAATTATAGTGCTTCTGACACAAGTCTGTAACAGATAATTTGGTTTCAAAACAGTTAATCAAATCTTCATGTCTGCGCTTAAATACCTTAGACATTAATTATACTAGGTCTTTAAGTTTAGACTAGACAACCTGGACAATTGGAGGTTTAATTGACATATATTTGAAGAATCATCTTCCTTTTTCTTTCTTTCTTTTAATGTCAAGTCATTAAAGAGATTTCCTATTACATATTGGATAACTTGAGTTATCGTTGCTTATTTAAGAGGATATTGCTGATGCTTCATAATCTTCTCTTTTACCTTACAGTGTGTTGCCTCTCATCCGGATACAAGGATGTTGTTCCTTAATGGTAATAATCTTGTTTCATTAGTCACCTGTTCAATAATCCTGCAACATATATGTATACTCTTTATCCTATACTGTGGCGATGTAAACCTCCAAAGATGGCATTTTATAAGAACATCTCTTTGGATAACATCTTGACATGTGTGTCGTATTCTTCTGAAACTGTTGATTTGCATCTCATATACCTCTTTATCTGTATCCTTTCCTCAATACAACAAACAAGTCAAGGCCTTTTGAGTACTTGAGGCTTACTAGTCTAGGGGTCATTGGTGCTTTGGTGAAGGTATTTCTTATTTCTCATGTTCCATTGTATCACTTGTGATTGCTAATATGCTCCTACAGACAATGTAAAGTTCCTTCATTCCCGCAACATCATACAAAATTTTCTTTCGATTTACCAGGTTGATGACACTGAAGTCATTAGTTTCCTTCTCTCAACTGAAATAATCCCCTTGTGTCTGCGTACCATTGAGATGGGGAGTGAATTGTCAAAGACGGTTGGTGCTCTTATTCTATGTCTTCTTTATATCTTTAATAAAGTGAGTGGTCATCCAGTTCCCATCCAAATAACGGTTGCAAGCCCTCTTATGTTTTATTTTTTTTCACAATAGTTGTGACATTGGAAACTCGGTGAAAAGTTTGTTCCACTTGATGGTAGGTCGCAACTTTTATAGTCCAGAAGATATTACTGGACGATGTGGGTCTTGATTACATATGCACTACAGCAGAAAGGTTTTTCGTGGTAGGAAGAGTTCTGGGCAACATGGTGACAACGCTTTTTGAACAGCCATCTCCTAGGTTGCTGAAACATATCATCAGATGCTACCTTCGACTATCTGACAATCTCAAGGCATGTGATGCACTAAGGAGCTGCCTGCCGGAAATGTTGAGAGATGCCACCTTCAACAGTTGTCTTCGCGTAAGAGACCCCCTCGTCATATTATTTATGTGTGTATGTTCTCCCTGAAGGAAGGGCATTGAGTAGCCTCACGATATAATTGATGTTACATGACATATTTGCAGGAAGATCCGACCACAAGGCGATGGCTGCAACAATTGCTTCACAACGTCGGAGTGAACCGCGTTCCTACTAGACTTCAGGGCGGTGGAGGATTTGAGCATATGTTGGTAAACTAGAATCATCAACCTGGAACATGCAATGAGGTCGAGTTTACCTTCCTGTTGGTGGTGTTGATGTTAGGATAAAAGTAAAAAGGAATGGAAAATGCTGGTGGTTGTAGTCGTAAGGCCATTCTTGTCTATGCTTCTATCTCAAAGGATGAAGCCTGTAACTTGTTCATTTAAATTTTAAAATGTGGTCAGTGGGTTGGTTAATTCAAATTGGACTGTAGATAAGATCGAATATTACTGTCTTCTTGTATGCGGGTTATTTTGTGTTTGGTTTTCAAAGAAAAACGGTATGAAAAAGGGCTACCGCTTGTCCGTCTTATCGTAAGACTTGATTCGTGAGTTGTGACTGAACTGGTAACAGATTATGGCACAGTGGATTGATTCATTGAACCAATGCCATAGTGATCGATAAGGCAATGAATGTTGTAGGACTCATAACAAGTAATATCCGACACAAGCAGGTTAATGACGAACAAATCGGATCAAAATTGTCATCATGAGAAACTACTTGCGATTGACTTGGCCCTTCCTTATCTACGAGTCCCACACCAGCTCTGCCATTGGTGAAGCTTTTCTGCTTATGCTTTTTGGTAATTTTGAAGTGTCAACATCCCAAATTCTCATATCCGTGCAATCAATCAATTTTGCTTGCACAGCCAAACCTTTGTATGGAATCTATTCCGCCAACTGTAAAGACTAAAGAACCATGGGTGGTGAATGAAGTTATGTTGAAGCTATAAGTCTATAACGTGTTCTAAAACGATCACTGCATGATGTGCCCAAAAGGGGAAAACTTGTAGAGAAAGGGGAGGAAGATAAGAAGGCAAGATGGTACATGCTAAAGCAGCCTCCTATATATCTATACCTAGGCATGGGGCCTCTCCTCCATACACAGTTCACAACCCAAATGGAATCTTTGAAACCAACCCACTAGTAGTTCGCAGGTTCAAGAAGGTGTTAGTCATAAAGCGGAAGTTGGAACGTTATTTATAGCATAGTTCGTTAAGCATCGCTTAAGTATGAATAGGTTGGAAGCAGAACAAGCAGTATGTACATGATGAATGTAATAACAATTTACAACACTTTCATACTTCATTCAAATGATTGTAACTTACTTAACACTTAACAACACGAAAATTGGTTACAAGTTCGTACAATAATAGCTCAATAGCTCACAAAGTTCTTGAGATTTTGAAAGATTGAGAGAGTGAAGATTGACTTTGTAGATGATGTTAATTTCTCTTGAATATTGTATGTCTAGTTCCACCTGATTATACCTAGGTGACACTCAGGTGCATCGCCTTACTATATCGTCGTGTTGTCTATGAACCGTTAAACGAAGCGTCTTGTGGTTTTCTAGCGGCTAGGCGCCTAAGCATACCCTGTAGTTAGCAAAAACCAAAAAAAATTATAGCTACATGCTATAGTAGAGCAGTGTCTTCAATGGTGACAGTTACACATGCGGTAACGTAACCCTTGTTACATATAGACAAAATACCTGTAATTTTGGCCAAAAGAGAGAACCGTATGAATGAAATAACATACAATTCATTCTCCCACTACAAACCAAAGACTTTATCTAATGGTTTATATATTTGAACTAATTATCATCTGATGAAAACTTTTGATCATCAGTTCATAATGACTACATATATAAAACGATCGCCTAATCACGACGATGATGATCATCAGGCCGCCATCCTGTTCCAGGAATCTTCCCTCTGCATCTTCAACTGCTTGTAGAAGTTCCCAATGAACGTCTCAGCTTTAGCGAATAGCTCCTGCCCACTGATGAACTCTCCAACGGCCGCCCCATCATCTTCAGCTTCACTACTGATCAACTCCTGCTGATCATCCTCCACCGAATCTCGTTGATCAGCCTGATCCTCGCCGGCGATGAAGAACAAGCTTGGCATGGAAGGACGGCACTGCAGTGAAGCATTCCCGTCATCAGATGAGGGTTTCTCCACCATCTTGTGATTGGCTGCTTCATCATCATGCACGGGAGACTTGTCAGGGGAGAGGGGGATAGTAGGTTTTGATGCAGGGGAAACTACAGAGGAGGAGGTGGGATGAGGGAGAAGGAGGCCGGCTTCGGCGGCAAGGGCAACGATGAGGAGGTTGAAGATGAAGTAGAGGTATTTGGGCCTGATTGAGGCGGAAATGAGAGGGGAAACGAAGAGAAGTGTGGCCATGATGATGAGCATCACAATCTGTGACTTCTTCTTCAACTTGTTCATCATCGTTTGTGTTCTTTCTGGTTAGCAGCTTGTGGTTTGATTGGGATTTTGGTGGGAGAGTTAATATGGGGGAGGAGATGGGAGTTTTTTTGGTGACGGGTCAGAGATATAGACATATGGGAATTGGGACATGGCTACTTGAATTTGTGTAATGCTCATGTTGTCATGCACATCACTCTTTGCCACAATAATGAGAGGAATCTAGTTAATCATCCTGAAATAAGTTGATATATAATAAATAGACTCATCTGTCACATGTTTTGATAACAGTTTGTTTAACAGTGTGTACGTTGATAGTTAAAAAAAATTCTATTCCTATTTGTCTTCTCCATCCGCTAGCACTAGTGACATAGTGTGAAATACCCTGTCTTTTTCTCCTAACACTTCTTTACCATGACATTATAATCATTCCACCGTTTTTTTATTTTATTCCCACAATATTGCAACATCAGTTAAAAAATCTCTACATATTCTGCCAATTTACTGAATCTTGTTATCTAGCGGTGCCATAATAGGAATCCAACAATTCTGTAACTTCACACAAATAGTAATAATATAACTTCCAAATTCATTCTCTTACGTACAATCTATCAATATGTCATTTGCCATCTTACTCCCTCAACTTGTTATCAAACTCCACACATCTAATTTATATAACCAAATGACAAACCATTCAAAGAGTTCAAACTTCAAACTAACAATAAAGTGCAATATTCGTTTGAAGAGAACAGGGTTGATTGAAGTTAAAATTCGGATAAAGTTATGCTATATGTTATTTCTACTAGATAATAACAAGGTAATGACTGGTGTACGTCAGGCCTATACTATACATCAGGTGATCTAGTCGTTAGATGTACTTAGATTAGATGAGTTCCGGCCGATCTCAACGGTCAATTTTTGTTTTTCATTAAATCAAACTTCGAGTTGGGGTTAAGAAAATCAGTGTCTGGGGTTTATCCATTAGAGATTAGGGTATAGTATCATACCCCAAACTCGATTTAATTCATGATCTAGATAGAAATATCTCACTAATAGTACCTGACATATAGTATACGTATGACGTATGTCAGTCTCACCCTTACAACAATAATGCAATGAGATCATGAAAGCGTCAAGGATCAATGTATTATTATGTACTATCATAAATTCATAATACAAGCAACTAGACACAATATTGTACAATATCATATAAAAAAATTATATAGTTCTGCACAAGTTATACCCGTAAATTCACGTCCTAGTAAAGTCTTCCATTTTGAAGAAAATGGGTGAAAAAAGGGAAAAGCATTCGGACCGGAATTGGACAAAAAGGTGGGATAAGGTCGGTGGAAAGAAACGCTACTATCTGCTCTGCTGCTTTGACCTTTTTCTTTCACAAGACACTTGTTTCTTTCCTTTTGGAAGTTCCTCTCTTCTCTTGTTTGCCAAAAAGAAACTTCTTTTATGGCTTGTGTGTGTAGACTGTAGTGCAACCCAACTGGGCTGGATTCCCGGCTCCCTCCGTACCATCATTATTTTGGGCTCGCGAAATGGGCCCCGCCCTTCCTATGGGCACGATCCACTACTTGTCTTTCTAATATTTGCTGCCATTCCTCCTCAATAATTTGCCCATTACTCTGGATGGACCCCATTCTTTCCTTTTTACCTTTTAGCCCCCGGAATCGAAGGCCTTTCCACCTTTTCCGCAAAAAAACTTTTTAGCTGCTAATATTTTTAGTTCAGTACTCAGTACTAGTAGTATGCCATATAGTACCAACCACGAGAATATGTAAAAGAATGGTTTCGGGAGCAGAGATGGAACTAGATAGCTTTTACATTGTTAGTTCATATGTACACTGCAACTGTTACAAGGGAGTTAAAAACTGAACACAACCTAATAAAGCTTTGCTGATTTAATTAAAGCACAAAACACATATCTTTTACTAATCCCTGCACAACAGCTTCAGTTCTGTGCTGCAGCAAAAGAGGGTCGTTCATGTTCTCTATTTTGATGAATAGTTACAGTTACTGAGTGATCATCAAGACCGGGGATGAACGAAAAGCTACTGTCATGGAGGACGGAGAGGAAGATGTAGGATGACCTCGTCTAAACTTGGGCAGCCTAGGATCTTCAATCCAACCTCATTTCCCAAATGCAGGAGGCAGATAAAGCACAACTGGGGTGAGATATCGTTTTGTGGGGATCCTAGGGGACATGTAGCCAAGAGTTGTTTGAAGGATATTGGAGCACTCCATTCATTCTGTACAAAAATCAAAGGGCAAAAACAAGACGGTGAATGTAAGGAAGAAAATGGTCAAATCTGATGAAATGGCAATACCAAAGCAAAGTTGAAGGGTGCTTCATTACGCTTGTCGTTGCAGGAAAGCTACCAGACTGTTCTTGTAAGTGTTCCCACAGGGTTTGCTTCAATGCACGTAGATCAACTGGCTTACTAGCCTTTCCATGTCGACCCTCCATTTTGTTGACCTAGAAGAGTTTCCACGAGGCATGCATCAAAATAAGGTGATGGTCCAGAACAGGTACGTCATTTCTCTAGTCCTAGTCCAGCTCGACGAACTTTTTATACAGCAGTAACAGTCTAGCAGACTAGCAGTTAACAGGAACGAAACAGTTTAGAAGGAGCGATGTATAAAGAAGTAATAACAATAAAACCTGTCCGTTCTGATAAAAAGGTTCTTCTGCTCCTATAGCTTCATGAAAGTAATTGTCACCATGTTGGCCACTGAGATCACAAGGATTGACACAGTCGCTTGACGGTGATGCTTCATCAGGATCATGAAATTCAGATGTACTATCTGGAACAAGAAAAATGGAATAGCATATATCAGATTTGATCCATATATATATGAATCTAGAATTAGAGTAAGATATGTGAACCCATATAAGTTCAAAAGGACAAGTATAGGATATGATAGATGAGCTTTAATTGTTTCAGTGGAAGATGTCCATGTATTCAGATTTATTGAGATAGGTCATGTCAATAATAAAGAAATGGATGCATAGATTAAGCTTGTACCTGAGAGTGTGGCACTTCTTCTCCTACCCAGAAACTGTAGATTTTGCAATAAAGAGAAAGAAAAGGGAAACTCTGTGTGAGGCCAGGGCAGGAACACTCAGATAACTCAGTACAGAAAGATCTAATTGTCCTTTCCTGGGAAATAATTGACATAACAAGATAACTCTCACATGAGATCAATATTACCAGAAGGTCATGACGAAGAAAAAGCTTCGCCAGATCCATAGGCTGATAATGGCAGTCTTCTGGAAGAGAATGGCTCGACTGTACTCGATCTGCTGGCAGAAGGAAAGACAATGGATTTGCTGGGGGAGCAAAGATATCAGCCTCAAAGTCCAAGGACTTAGTGAAGTCAATATCATTACAGTCAACACTTCTCTTCCTTCTCCTGCTGGAAGAGCATGCAAATCCATCGTTTGCAGTTTGAACAGGTTTTTGAACTGTTCAAAAAGGATGTTAGGACCTACATATTGACGATAGATGATAAGAAACCACATAAAAGCTACATTTCTATAATCATACCCACCCTTCGGCTTCAAAAATTTCCAGTAATCAGGACCCGCCCATGAGTTCTGTTTTCCAGTTATATCCAAACTTCGAAACAGAAACATGGCCACTCTCTCATAACTTGTACTGACATCCGATTCAAACGATGCATCGTAGTAGTCATTCTCTTGAAAAGTGGTCTCACTGTTCCCAAGTGAATGAGTATCTGATTGAAATTCTTCATCATGAACTATATCGTCATCCATATTGCAAAATCCATCGGTTACATTGGATCTTTCAAATGGCATTTGTCTACTTTCATTGAGCAAGGAAACTATCTCTCTTAGGGTGGGGGAAATCTCCATCTTCCTTGGCAAGTTAATCACCATCTGCTCAATAGAATCTGTAGAGAAGACAGAGAATGACAAAATCAGTGCAGCAAAAAGGAGAACATTGATCAGCCCGGATGCAGTCTAAAATTTATAATCAAACATGTCAGTCAAAATCAGGCACCTTTAGCAAATGATATGTCAATAACATCTGACATGTCAGATTGAGGCATACAGGACATGTTTCTTCCTGGCACTTCAAAGTAATCAAAAAGAAGCCTACATCCTCCATAAACCCCCACATTATTCAGTAGGAGACTCTCGGATCCACCTTGACTCATCGTAAGAGATGTTCTATAATATGATGGATCCATAACAGCTGCAGCTGAACATAGGGGTTCAAAATGAAAGCAAGAAAATGGAGGAAGAAACATAAAAGGGAATAATGGGCCGTAAGAGTGATCACTAACAGTCAACTCCATTCCAGTTAAGAGCTTCAGTTGAGGATTCTATTGTGGACAATGGAGAGACCTGCACAGACCAGTTGCGTGATGTTTATTTGCAATTACAAATACCATTCCCTAAAACAGAAACATGATAGTAACATAAACACAAAGCTGTACAATGTCAACCTTTTTCTCAACCTTTTCTTCCACATTATCCTTGCCCTCTTCACTCCCGGCATTGTGACTCTCTGAGGTGGCAATATCTGCCACCATATTAAAGAACTAAGTTAGGGGAGTAATGAACCAGAATCCATTCTGCACAAGAGTCACCCACAAGTGAAAGCAAAGAAAACAATCACTTTTCGCAGCAAAGTTATGGTAACAGCCTAATTTGTCACTAAGGAGTTCATCAACTGCATAAATGATGGCTATAAATCCATCAGTCAAGAGTAAATAATATGTGCAAATTTCCCAGCATAGCAAGTCAAAAAGAGTTACCTTCTTGAGACCCTAGACTAGCTACACTGATCCCACCAAGGATATTGTAAGCTTCTGAGTACAGGGCATCAACCCTAACAGAGTAAATTTTTACCCCAGCTTCCAGTGAGCAACTTGCCTGATTCCTCAAACAACGTCAGCTAGTCTAAAACCCATGTAGAATCTCTCCCTTTGGGGGGTAAACAAATGCAAACACTTCCAAACTCACCGTTCGGAAATTTGTCTCCGCACCACCATCTGCTTCAGCTTTCACGATCTCCATCAGATGATCGATCAACTTCAGACCCCACGCATTCTTGTGATTGATTTTCTGCGTCGGAATAGCCAAGGAGAAGGTCACTTTTGGGACTTTCTGTCCAAAATCTCTAGCAAAATTACTTTCGGTCTTCTCTCTTTGTTACATTTAGGTTTCGAAATTCTCAGCACACAGGCAAAGAAGCATGAGAAGATTAGAGGGGAAACCGTACATTTTCATTGGCGAGCTTAATGCAACTATGCAGCTGCTCAAAGATTTCATCGTTGAGAAGGCGAGTTTCATCAGAAGCAAGGGATGAGAAGGAGGGAGGAGGAGAAGGAGAGGGGTTTAGTGGACGCATTTCGCCGGATCAGGCGCCGCGTGCCGTTGCCGCGTTCAAGTCCGTCGCCGTAGAACAAGCCTGGGGATGAAGGTGGGTAAGCCAGTGACAGCGAGAGGTTATAGAATAGACTGTTCGCCGGTGATGGCTGTCAGAATTCCGGAAAGCTTGTTAGGGAAGTTTCTTATTTAAACAACACTTTAACGTTTAGCGCCACAAATATTATTTTTCACGAAATTTTGGTAATTTGACGGCCCGTTTATCCGATTGGATTTGGGGTGATGGACTGATGGTTAATGGTTATTACATGAAATGCTGGCTGGTTGAACAACTTAGAACTTGATTTTACAATGCTATATAGTATTGGTGCTATAGGATTTGATCTTTATGGTACAACTTAAAATTGTACATTTACGTTATGGTACAACTTCAGATTGTACCTATATTTTTTGTACAAATTCTTTTATGGTACAACTTGACTTTGTGCCTTTATGTGATGGTACAACTTCAAGTTGTAAAGTTGTACCATAACATAAAGGTACAAATTGCTTTATGGTACAACCTAAACTTATACATTTAATGTTATGGTACAACTTTAAATTGTACATTAAAGTACCAATACTATATAGCATAGTAGAAGGGCTCTGGTGTCAGTTATGAAAACCGGAATACTATTTGGATAACTAAAATGATTGATGTTCAACCTTTAAATTAAATGATGTCGTTTTTGTGAATTTAATTAATAAAAAAATTAATTAATGATTTATTTCATGAATACGAAAGTTAAATGTTGATAATATTTGTCGAAATCAAGTATAAATATTTGAGTGTTGACGTTAAATGTTGTATTTAATATGAGTATTATTTATTTATTTAGAATATTGTATTTTATTTAAATATGAATGTAGATTGTTTTCAAATATGTTTTATATGTGCTTAAACTCATTTGATGTTAATGGGTGTTTACATTTCTACATATGTTTTCAAACCAGCATGAACTGATATATACCAATTATATTATCGATCGAACCATATCACTTGCTAAACAACAAGAGGGTATAAACCGGCTTGACATAGGTGAGCATTAACATAATAGGTGCCACCCATAATTTTAAATGAAAATCTTAGTGGCAACTTTCATCCAATCCAACATGTAACTTATATCAACCTTTTAACTTTTAAGTTTTTGGTGAGTATTTCCTTTTCCAATTTAGTGAAACTAAAATGTTAGGTATTTTTGTTAAGTTAACCATAATCAACATTGGCGCCCAAAAGCCAACGTTTGCACTCAAAGGAAGGAGGATATGATTGGCAAATGTGTGAACCGTCCGTGACCACGAAATCAAATATCGTTTTGGTTACATGCAACGTTAATGGTATTTGATTGAACTACCGGCGGCAAAAAAAAAAAAAAAAAAAAAAAAAAAAAATATCTGTGAAAGCATGAATGGGAAAGAGATGGAGGGGCAAACGGAGTATCCAACCCACTATCACGAAGCACCATTGGATGGGTGATATGGATTACTGTTGTTTTTTTTTTCTTCCAAAAATATCATATATTGATCAAACGAAATAGATAGTTACATCCTGGAAACCAGTCAGGCTCGGAAATCAAAGAAGCGATTCGTAGTCGGATACAAAGAGAGGGCTTTTCTAGCTACCGAATGAGCTACCCTATTGTTCTCCCGACCTACAAATCTCACACTAAACCCAGGTTGGGTGCGAAAATAATGACCTATCTCTTCCAGGACAACACCCAACTGGTTATCTCTTGTGTCGGCTGGATTAATTTTATCGATAATCACCTTCGCATTGCCCTCGAACCGGACCTCCGACAAGCCACACTCCAAACATCAAACAATATCCTCCCGAAGCACAAGCAGTTCCACCACTGCAGGCTCATCCATATAAGGAAACTGAACCCCACTTGCCAGAAGGAGCGTCCGTGCCGGGGCAAAAATAACCATCCCTCCAGCTGAATGGGACCCACTCCTAGTAGCCACATCCCACTTGCAAACCAACCGTGAATCATCCACCGGAATCTCAGGCTGGACCAACGGAATCGACACCCTAGGAGCCAGGTCCTTTGTCAAGCACACTCATTCCTCATACTGTTGGTTAAACTGACGCATGAGCGCAGGGATCCCAAACTGTTTGCCTTCAAAGACAACCCAGTTACGAGACCGCCAGATTCGCCAAAGGATGGCAACAACAGCCATAACCAACGACTGTTGATGGATCAAAGCCAGCAGGCGTTTGAGAAACAACGGAAAGGTGTGTCGAGGCAAACCCTCCCCCACGTACTCCAGTCCTGAATAGTCTTAGAGGGCCCGCGCAACCGGACAATAAAGAAACAGATGCTCCATCGTTTCCGGGCTATCCCAGCAAACTGGACACCGGGGAAGCACAGAAACATTTTTCTCTCTAAGAGCCTCTGTAGTTGGAAGAGCCCGATTAATGATTTGCCACAAAAAGACCTTCAACTTCGGGGGATCTTAGCTTCCCACACCCTGTTCAACTCATGGTAAAGGAAACCGTACCGGAAGTCAATACCGGATCCGTCAGTGGTAGGGTATTTAGTGGTACTACTGTGGTTCCATCGTTGTGTACCGGTAAATACCGTTTATGTAATTAAATAATATTTTTTTGTTAAAAAACTGTACCGACAGATTCAAGATACCGTTTCGGAATGATACCGGAGTAAAACCGGAATATACCGGATAACAAACATGAATAAACTAAATAGGCATATTTAATATAACAATCAACATTATACTTCAAAGTTCAAATCAGTCAAAACATTAAAAAGATCAAAAACTCATGAGCATGCTAGTTTTTCCAATATGTAATTTTTCCTTACTAAAGCGCCGTGTTCTTGAGCAGTCAGCTCCGTCCTAGGGGTTAGGCGATGCCTTCTTGTTCTTGAGCAGGGGAGGGAGAGGCGAGGCACGCCGGCTGAGGAGCAGGAGAGGGAGAGGCGAGGCGCGCCGGATGCCTGGCTGAGGACTGAGGAGCGGCGGAGCGGCAGTGCGGCGGCGGATCTGCTCGATTTTCGTCGGTCGCCACTCGCCAGAGAAGATGAACGGCAGAGATGCGGAGCACGACTAAGGTCTGCGGGTCACTTTCGCGCCGATCGCGGGTCGCCGGTTGCAGGCGGCCAGAGATGGCAATGGGTCGGGTTGGGGCGGGTTTTGTCAAACCCAAACCCATGGGTTTATCAGCCAAAAAAACCCGGGGTAAAACCCGTTGGGTTTGAAAAACTCAAACCCAACCCAACTCGCTGGGTATCCGCGGGTTCATGGGTATCCGCGGGTTCATCGGTACCCGTGGGTTTTTCTAGTAAAAAATTTACAATAACAAGTTTCTTTCAAAATAAAAGTTTAACATCAATTTTCTCATACAAATTAATCATACAAAAAACACCAATCTAGAGCATACAAGCAAATCGCAAATGATCAATACAAATTGTTCAAAATTAAAGATAAACATCTATAAACAATAAGATTAATTGAAAGTTGCTTCCTCGTCAACTAAGTTTCTTCATTTTTCACTTCATAATATCAACTTTATTCTAAACAATTAGAAAGAACAAATTATACATGTCTCCACAAACATAAAGAATATTAGTTGTTTAAGGAAGATATATTATTTAGAATATTAAATATACCGGTGAATAGTGTAGCGGTTTAAACTCAAACCCAACCCAACCCGACGAATAGTGTAGCGGGTTTAAACCCAAACCCGGCCCAAAACCCGTCAACACGGGTTTTACCCGCGTTGACCGGGTTGGGTCGGGTGGGTACTCGTGGGTTTGGGTTTTGTTGCCATCCCTAGGCTAGAGGAGATGAGGAGCGGCGGGGCGTGGCGGGGCTATGCTGTCCTCTGCTCTGGACTCTGGAGAAGAAAGAACCAGGAAACGATTAAACAAAACTCCAAATTTTTGATAGATTAGGGTTTTTGGCTTTCGGCCGAATTTTTTTTATACTATTTTATGTGCCAAAACGACGTAGTTTTTGTTCCTATTGCTTACCGCCAGTTAGATCAAAACCTGGCTATTTTTCGTTTTGTGCCGGTTAAACCACCAAAACCGGCCGGCACGGTATTCTTCCCACAGCCAGCCTTCCGTATCGTCCCAGGTTCGGTTTCCGGTTTTACCGGTTGAACCGGCCGGTACGATTCGGTTTCCTGGTCCATGGTTCAACTCAACAGCCAGATGATAAGCCGACTTAACCGAAAAAACCTCATCGGCCGTGTTATGCCAGATAAGCTTATCAGCCACATTCCTCCGCGGAAGTGGAATAACCTTAATGGCACTACACGTAGGCGGGTCAAACCATTGACTAAGCTTATCATTAGACCACCGCCCCTCCCCTTCACATATAACCTCCGCCACCAAGGGATCACCACCATTTGGCAAGATCAACGGGTTGTAACAGGGGGGATCAAGCTGACATCCAGGAATCCAGCTAGAGTGAAGAAGAGAAGTTGATTGGCCATTTCCAATCTGCCATCTTAACCCCATCTCCAAAAGCTGGCGACCATAAAGGATGCTCTGCCACCCCCATGATGGACATGATCTAGCCGTCGCGCTAAGGAATGCACCTTGCGGGAAATACTTTCCTGTATAAACCTGGGCGAGGAGGGACTGAGGTTCATTGAGAATTCGCCAGCCAATTTTAGCTAAAAGAGCTTGGTTAAAGAGTTCAAACTGGCGAAATCACATCCCCCCATCATGTTTGCTCCTACACATATTGCTCCAGGACACCCATCTAACCTTGGGCTGGCCCTCATCAGCACCCCACCAGAAACGGGCCACATGTTTATCTAACATGCGACAAAGAGAGAGGGGAAGCCGGAAGCATGACATAACATGTAGGGGAAGGGCCATCGCTATGGATTTAATCTAAGTTTCCTTAGCCGCCCAGGACAATGTCCGTTGTTTCCACCCCTGCAATCGCTCTATTAGTTTCTCCTCTAAATATCTGAACGTAGCTATTTTGGATCTGGCAACCAGCGTGGGTAACCCCAGATATTTATCATGGACTCCCACTGCACCAACCCCCAGGATTGTGGCCAAGAAGTCCTGATCTGGGAGGGTAATATTCTTACTAAAGCACACCGCAGATTTCTCCAGATTAACTCGTTGGCCACTCAGCTCCTCATATTCATTCAACACTATTAAATTTTCGCACTCCTCAAGAGAACCTCGAAGGAATAAAGAAGAATCATCCGCGAAGAACAAATGAGAGACTCTCGGGGCACGATGAGCCACTTTTACTCCTTCTATTTTCTTCTCTGAGATCGCCTTCCGGAGGAGGGCTGCAAACCCTTCTATGCAAAGCACAAACAAGAGAGGAGACAGCGGATCCCCCTGGCGGAGCCCTCTAGAGGCAGAAAAGTAACCCGAGGGCGTACCATTCATTAGAACCAAGAAGGAGGAGGAGCGAAGACATTCATGTATCTATCCTTGCCAGACTGAGTTAAAACCCATCTTATCCAAAACTGCCAGAAGAAAGGGCCATTCGACTCTATCATAGGCCATTTCCATGTCAACCTTCAGAGCCATGTACCCCCTTCTTTCCTTGCTTTTTTATTTTTAGATAATGCATTAACTCATGTCCTATGAGGATGTTATCAATAATCTACCGGTCTCTTATAAACGCATTCTGGCCCTCCGAGACGATTTGAGGGAGCAGACTAGCAAGCCTTTCTGCCATAATTTTGGTGATCACTTTGTATACAAATTGACAGAGGCTGATTGGACGTAATTGTCTGATTGTTTCTACATAATCCACTTTAGGGATCAAAGTGAGCCAGGTATGGTTAAAACTCCGCAACATCCGACTAGTAGTAAAGAAGGGGACTACTGCTTCAACCACCGAAGTGCCCACAATGTCCCAGAAAGCTTTGAAGAATTTTCCTGTGAACCAGTCCGATCCCGGGGCTTGTTTCGAGCCCATTGAGAAGACCGTCTCCGAACCTCACTAGGCAAAACCTCCGCTATCAAATTCGCATTCATCTGGGGAGTGACACTATGGGCAATTGGAAGACGCGCCACCCTATCCGCCATATTAGGAACCTGGGTTTCCGAGGTAAACAGAGTCTGGTAGAAGCTGGTAGCAATATTAGCCTTCCCAGTTTCCTTAGTGACCCACTCCCCCTCATCATTTCGGAGTCCAAAAACAAAATTCCTTTTCCGCCGAGCCCTAGTGAACGTATGGAAATAGGCAGAGTTTTGATCACCTTTCTTTAACCATCGGACCCTGGACTTTTGCTGCCAATAAACCTCCTCCGCTCAATCTCCGCCTGGAGAGTCTTGATATTGCGAAGGGAATTCGTAGTGCCCTCCCAGCTCCAATCATAGAGCAGATGACGGAGTTTCTTGAGGCGCTCCCAAAGTCGAAACATAGGGGTACCTTGAAGCTCCTCCTGCCAGACATAATGGACCATAGCCCTTACTTCTGGATTGTCTACCCAGCGAGCATCAAATCGGAACAGAGGCCGACTACTCGGGGCGTACGGTTTATCCGCGAGAAGAAGGGCACGAGGATCCGAGCCCTGATCCGTAAAGTGCTTGACCAGAGTCTCTGGATAAGTGTCAATCCAGGACTGGGAACAGAGCGCCCTATCCAGACGTTCACGAATGCACGCTGCACCCATACGCTGATACGTTTATTCGTCCATGTGAATTGATCCCCTTGGAAATCAGGGTCATGGAGCTCCAAATCATGGACAAAGTCTCGAAGACTAACAGCTTGAGCAGCATTCCAAGCCCGACCCCCATCTTTTTCACCCTCATGGAGAGTAGTGTTGAAATCACCTAGGATCACATAAGGGTGATGGATATTCGCGCAGACATCTCTCAGCTGAGCCAATTGAGTAGCTCGAACCGCAACATTACAGCTAATGTAAACAAAGATCACCACATAAGAAAAATCATCTTCATTAATTTGCGAACAAATATAGAAATCTGAATGACAAAACACCGAAGTGTCAACCCCGGGGGACCAAGCCACAACTAACCCTCCCGATGCATCGACTGCATCTACAAAAAAAAAGAGCAAAACCTAAACCCCGCATACGACGGGAAACTACTCGCCGGCTCGATCGCGTTTCAGAAAAGAACACGAGATCCGGCTTATTCGATTGAACAAGCCCTACAGCAGTTTGGAACGTGAGGGATGACCCAATTCCCCTCACATTCCAGGCTAGAAGCCTCATTTATCAGCTGGGGGCCACTCGAGGCTGGCTTCCTCCACCTTCTTCAGAACTTCTGTTGTTTCCACAAATTGCTTCTTCGGAGTTGGGGGGTCACCCACATCACCATCCAACTCATCCAGCACGCGTTTCCGAGTCTCCACACTTGGGTCCACCAGATTAGACCCATATTCATTGATGTTTGAGCGAGACCCCTTGCAACCCATACTATTTTCCCGAGCATAGACCAGCCCTGCTTCGAAAGCCTCCACCACTTGTTGAACTCACCCGGAAAGGCTTTGGTGAGTATCCTCGGAGACACCAGCTGGTGATCGCCACTTGATCTCAAACGATTGATTATCCCTGGTCGATTGATCACCATCTGATTCTGCGGTGTGCTGTTGATCCTCATAAAAAGAACCATCCAGGGGAGCACCAATCTCCGTATCCTCCACCTCCCGCGAGCCACTAAACGGAGTAGAAACCCCATTCTTTTTTTTATATAGTCTGGGAGAAGGCAGCTCCTCGCTTTCGCAGACGTAGGCGAACCCGGGGCCCCGAACTCCCAATATGGGCTACACCCTTGGAGGGCAGATGAGGATCTGCCTGGGGCTTATGGGGGGCTCATCAGAAGGGCCAGATGGCTCACGAGTTTGCCTCGATTGAAGGGTCTTTTGACCGGCATTCTCGTCCTCTTCAGACTCCTCCTGCAAAATCAGCCTTCGCCTCCGGGACTGGTCAAGAGCCATCTCCACCTGGTCTTCTACCTGCTGACGATGGGACGCCTTTCTGGCACGTCTCCCCGCCTGTGGGCGACCTTTTGTACCTTGCCTAGGGAGACCTGCAACATTTCTGGGTGACACTTTCTTCTGATACGGGCGAACCCCACCACCAATCTTCACACGAGGCGATGTCTTGAAGACAACCCTCCTCGGGCTAGCACGATTATCCACCGGCTTAGGCTTGAGCTCTTGCAACCTAGGTTGCATTTCCTTACTAACAGGGATCTCTGGTTCCCCTATCAGAGGATGATACGCAGCCTGATCAACTGAGCGAGCAAGAGGAACTGGTCGGACTTCCATCTCACGAGCTTGAGCAGTCCTCGCACTCCCATCATTACGTGGTTGAGCATTTCTGTTCACCCACACCGACTTGCTTGCATTACAAAACGTCGGGAACTCCTCCTCCTCCATGTAGATCTTCCTCCCTAGTTTCCTTGTAGACATATGCGGGCCGAAACGTTCATTACCCGGAGGCGGAGCAAAACTACATTCCCGCTTTGAGTGCCCCACACGGCCGCAGTGGTAGCAGAAGGTCGGCAAAAATTCATATTTGAGATTGACCCAGAAACTTTCGAGTTCTTCACTAACCGCTATGAATTGAGACCTCAACGGCTTGGTAAAGTCGATGAGAGCATGCACTTTGACAAAACACTCATCCGTGTCTTTGGCAGCAAAGACATCAGCTTCCAATACTTGACCGATTGTCCCAACTGCCACCTTCCGGCCAAACTGCTTAGTGCAGCAGTCCTCCTTCACATTCCATAGTTGAACACGAAATGGAGCAATGGCCAAATGATCGAAGGTCAGCCTTGTGATAGATGGTGTCCAGGATCGGAGATGGAAAATCTAGTCTTTAACAATCCAAGGAGTTCTTTTCAGGATCCAAACCCTTGTCTCATCACTTGGAAGAACAACTTCAAATAGGCCATATTTAATGACCGAAAACCTAAGGCTTCCTTGCACTCGCCAGGCCTCCATCAAACCCTCCGTCAACTCACTAGGAGTGAATTTAGTCTCCGAAAATAGTCTTCCCACGAGAGTTCTCGAAGTGCGAAACTTTACTGATTGGACCTCTGCGAGAGAAAACTCAACCACTTGATCCTCCGCTATGCGAGCCATCGTGTTAACCTGAATGAAAACCAGGACTTGACCTCTGCAGCAAGGGACCGGCCTCCTTAATCGCTTCTCTGGAGTTCTCAATTCGCCGAGCCGTGCAATGGGCTGGTTGTTGTATGACTTGATTTATAAGGTATTCGAATTGGATTGAAGGTTTTAGGTAAAAGATTTGAATGGAGTAAGATCAAATACAAAGGCTTAATGTTTGTCGTTGCTTCTGTAGAAAGTGAGCTCACAACTTCATCTGCCGTGATTGATGAACTTGATAAGAAACTGATGAGTTGGTGAGATAGATGAGCTGATGATTAGGGCTTAGCTAAATTGGTTCGATAGAGGTAAGAATTCATCAACAGCAAGGTTTGCAGTTTGCAACCTCCGTCAGACTGGGAAATGGATGGTCAGGCAAAAGAAGGCAACTAATGATACTACATGAACGGCAACCAAATTAGAGCTACACAGTTGATGAGAAGTGGTGTTAACATTAACATTACATTTTACACTTTTCCTTACGCTAATCAGGTGACAAATACGCAGTAGAACATCATATCAGACTCTGATCATCAGAGTTAATCGTATAATCTTTTGCTGGTGTTTTCCTGTTGTCTCTTCGCTTGGAAAGAAGAGCAAACAGCTCAAAAGCAGAACAAACCAAGCTGTGTATACATAACTAACACCCCAAACCCAAACCCAACATTTACCTGAGCAGTTCCCTTGCTCTGTTTCAGTTCCTCTTCCTTACCCATGAGCACAAATGGAATTTGTTCCAAGTGGCAGTGGCTTTTGCCGGAGACAGTAAAATGCATTTGAAGGAACACCTTAGAATGGGGCTCTTTTGCTAACTGGAAGTTCTCAGTAGAAAAGCAACTCCCAACCCTAGCACGGAACCTGCGAGAACCTGCATCAGTACCCCCCATGTACACAATTCTTCAGCACATGAATTCATAGTGTGATCTAGCCATCAAGAGAACTGCATTTTCTAGAATAAACTAACGTCACTCTTTCTTTTTAGTTAAAACATGAAATTGACTAGGAGAGAACGATGCATAGATGTGATCTGAAGTCCATGGAATGAAACTTGGAGAAACTTTGAAAAGCATTTAACATCGACCAGTTCCCTGCTGATACGAAACTGAGTGGTAGCCTTTGCATTTACGCAAGAACTACGCCAGCAACAAACCTGGATGGGAGTATGGCCAAGTGAATCCCGCAGAGGTCTACAATTGGAGACGGGATGTTCCGGAGGTAGCTCACATACAATTTGATTTAATAACTGCAACAACATATGTTCACGAGCAAGTATGGAGAAAGGATGTTAGAAGTTAGAACAACTTGGCAAGTAAATAACAAGACCACTACTTTACTCCCAATAAAAATGCAGAACAGTAAAATGGACCGCATAAAACAACATAGAAAGATGATTTAACAGCAGAAAAGTAGTCATCATTTAAGGATCCAGTATACTAAAAACTTGTTACCTCAAGATAGTATACAAGTATTTCACCTAGTCCTGAATGCCGTAAACCAACAGAAAAGTATGGGAAATCGAAATCAGTGTGAATACCATGAACTCAATATGAAATAATATGTTTAGCTTATGTATGTCTACACTTCCTCAGATGCTTAAGCATGACTAAACAAATGAGTGCAGCAAGTCTACACTTTATCATATAATGTGTTTATATGATTTTGCAAGAAAGTATAGCAAATTCGGCCAAGCAAAGCAACAAGTATAATATCATAAAATGTATTCCGGTGCAGCGCAATTCACATGTGCAAGACACGGATCCTTGTATTTCTAAGACAAAAGCTACAACCTTGTTTCCCTTTCCCTTCCCTACAAACTATAACTCTCTTTTTAAATCCCGAATGAAGGGCGGGGGGGGGGGGGGGGGGGGGGGGGGGGGGGGGGGGGGTGGATAAGCTTGATGATAGATATCCCTAACCAGATACCATGATATGAAAGTAAATTAATATGCTCAGTTGCACACAACTGCCATCAAACTCGCATATTCTTCTGATTTTTGGTAAAACAGTATGTCCAGAAACTTCAGAAATTGATCTCACCTCAGCCTGACGACCAGCATGAAGTCTAACACCAGTAGCGTCATACATAACCTGCAAAACCATTCATCAAAATAGTTACAGGAAGCTTTGCACCCATATAACATCCTGGACACAACCGTACAAATGGACAAGCATGACCCCCCAATCACTAAAAGACCACAATGGCAGCTTAATGTCTCTACTACAAACAAACACGTACTGGGAGGAAAAATTGAAGATTTAAACAAGGTAGCAAATGTAGAACAGGAAACTAAGATCTAGCAGTGACCTATGCATGCAATGCAATGCTGATCATGAGATTTCACTCTACACCAGTGTAGCCTATTAGCGTAGGAATTAACTTGCCATTGAATAACACAAGCACCCTGATTTGTACTACGAAGCCTCATCTTCACAAGAACTTCATCAACTTCAATGTGTACAAGCATTGAAACTTGGAAGAATGAAGAAGACCTGGATAATGAGTACATACAACACAAGCCAAAACCAGTGCGACAGCAAAAATCGGGGCCCCAGTTCCTTCCTCCAGTGCAATAGCCACAGCCAGCGCTGTCACCGTTGCTGAATGTGAGGAGGGCATTCCACCAGACCCAAGCATCCTTCTAGAATCCCATCTTCTCTCCTTGAACCTTCATGATTTTTAGAGCAGAAGAGGATTAATCGAACACATTCAACTTTTATACAGCTGAGAAGCCAATGCAACATTCATCAATACCTCAAATAACCATATATCTCAATGACTTGCAACATGAAAGGGTTTTGAATCCAGTGCATTATCCACAATCATCAATGGGCAAAAGGAAGATAGTGAAACAGTTTTCAATTGCTTCTTCCTTACAACACTAATCCTAACTCCTAGCAAGAAAGATATGCACGCTCTCATTTCAATATGTGGATTGCGTAGGAGCTAAACCCCACCAGCCCCATATTCACCGACCAATTCTAAGAACTCCTAGCAATCTGTAGTTCACTATCCACCACTTCCTTTCATCTAGGAACTCTCGTTAACTCATCACCATATGGGTTAAAACTTATAAGGGAAAAGCTTTCTTCCCTGAAGCTTCATCTGCTTCCCCTCACCAATTCACGCTGCTAATAAAAACGAGAGCTTTGTACATCGGCAGCAAAGAATAGGAAAAGGGATTTCCCAAATTTCACTTAGAAGCTGAAAAATACAAATTGATAGCACTAAGCTTTATAGAATACCAATAGTAACCAGAAAGGAAAAGAAGAAAAAAAAACGGAAGAACGAAGATAAAGGGGACAGAGAGTAGTACCAGACGGTGAAGGGCTTGAGAAACTGGGCGATAGCTAATGCGAGGAAGGCGGAGATGAGAGGGATGTTGGAAGGGATAATGGAAGGTTGCGGTGTGGCTGATCGGAATCTGGCCGATGCATCAGCCGCCGTGATGACTTCGTTCATTGCAGAGCGGCGTGGGAAGACAACGAAGGACGTTAGGGCAAGGGAACAGCCGAACAGGGGAGTTTTGATGGTTGGGGAGAAGTTTGCGTCAGGGTTGGGGGCATCCGACGGGGGCGGCGCTGCGGCGGCGGTGGTTGTGATTCCGATTCCAGTTCCAATCCCAATCCCGGTGACCACCTCTGTCTCTAGTCTCTTCGGTCGTCTCAACCCAACTGCGACGACACGGACACTCCAACGACAATAATGTCGTCCCTCTACGGCTCTACCAATCAATAGAGTTATTCTGCCAACATCTAAAGACTAACTCCAGGGTAAAATACCTTCACTTAAATAGTTAAATTTGAGAATTGAAAAAAACATGTCACTTAAGTTTTAATAGGGCCGGGTACCATTAAAATCTTCAAAATGTGCATCTGTTTAGTTTTCCGTCCAACCCAAACTTTTAATTACTTTTTGGTACCCAAAACTTTAAAACATCAAAAATTATATTTCAACAAGTATTATCTCATATAAAAATTAGAGAACCTTCTAAACATAGTACTACTAGAATGACTAATGAAATTTTTTCAATATAATAGATAATATAGTAAAAATAATAAATGAATATCAATAAGGAATAATAAATATACTAAATGATTATAATCTATCATTAAAATCAATATTAAATTATCTATTTAAACTCATAATTCAATTAAAAGCACTACTAAAATCAATTAAAATAAAACCTTATTGAACATTAATACATCAAGACCAAAGAAGGATAAATGGTACACAATTTGAAAATTAAACATATTTCATTAATTGAAAAAATTAAAACGAAATGAGATAGAAAGTAACCAAGTAATAAGTAAATTATAAAAGCTACAACATTCAGTTTCAAATATAGAAAAGAAAATATGGAAAAGAATTAGAAATAGTAAATTTAACTAATATGGAACATCTAAAATATAATATTATAGAATTATAAGGAGATTTAAATGGAGAATTAGACAACATCAATATGATAATAACAAGGGTACCCGTGGGTTCGGGTTATGTTGTCATCCCTATCCTTAAGTAGTTATTATATACAAACAATGTCGGATTTGAGGCCATGTCGACGAGCCACGATCGGAGGCAGTGGGCTGACCGGCGCCGTCGCGTGAGGATGAAGAGAGGGCCAACTCTACAGGCCCAAACCGAGCCTCATTTGGTTGGGAAAAACGGGCCCACAATTCAAAAAAAATCCAAGCCCAAACCCTTTTCTCTCTCCCTCAACCCGCGGTTTTCAGTTTCCCCACTCTCTAGAAAAAAGGCAAAAACTGTCTGTTTCTCTCCCTTTCCGTTTCTTCTTATCCCGAAAGAAGACGAAGACGTCGCCGTCCTTGAGGAAAGAAGACGAAGACGTCGCCGACCAAGAAGGAAGACACCGCCCAGGGGCGGAGCTACAGTTGGTCTCGGGGGGCCCGACCCTCACGAGAATTGTGAAAAATACTTATCAACTATATCGATATTTTGAAAATTTTGTATAAAGTACAAACCGAACTAAAAACGTTGGTGTTAATTTTTTAGCAAGGAAATCAGATATAGCATAGCGAAAGGTCACCTTATATTGGTGTCAGCTGCCGAGGGTTCGCTACCATCTCCTTGTATTTATGTCACTTTAATTTTACCTTTTGTTTTAATGTCTTTTTTAGTTTTAATATATCTACATAATTACTCTTACTCTTTCAAGTTTCACGTTATGGTTTCTTAATTCCCTTAATTAAATATTGTTTCTTGATTCACTAAATTTCAAATTTAGTTTTTTTACCACTTTTCAGTTTTATATAGCTAAAAAAATTAGTCATTTTGACTTTCATAAGCTACTTTACAACAATATTTTTGACTCTAATCATCTAAAAATGTGATTCATAACAATATTAAAAGTAAAACTTTCTTTTATTGTCTTGTTTAGTTTTTAATTTTTTATCGTCTTTTTGCGCTAATAGTATAAAAAAAATTGCCCCCCCCCCCCCCCCCCCCCCGAACACCAAATCCTGGCTCCGTCCCTGACGCCGCCACCGATAGTGGGAGGTAGAAGACGACTTTCGACTACAAGGAGGACGACGTGGTTCACATTGGCATCTTCCCCTATCCTTATTTGATGATTTTGTTTGTGGATACTCAGTTAGGGTTTCAAGGATTTTTTCCAGGAGATATGGGTTTCGTTTCTCGATTTCTAAATTTAGGGTTCATGCGATTCGAATTAGGGGGTTCTGGTTTCGTTTCTCGATTTGTAGATTTAGAGTTCCATGGATTCGAATATGGGGATTCTGGGTATTGTTTCTAGATTACTAGATATAGGGTTTATTGGATCCAATTTTGGAGGTTCTGGGTTTTGTTTCTAGATTACCAGATATAGGGTTTCTTGGATTCGATTTTGGAGGTTCTGGATTTTGTTTCTAGATTACCAAATTTAGGGTTTCTTGGATTCAAATTTGTTGAATCTGGGTATCGTTTGTCGATTACTTGATTTAAGGTTCCATGGATATCAGTTTTGTCACTTCCGATACTTGTTCTGTATATCAAGAGACTTACTTTCCCATTCAACTCGACCTTGAATCTAGATATCATTGATGCCACTTTGGATGCTATCCCGTGCATTCTAGTAATTAGGTTTCATGGATATCATTTAGCTACCTTAGGATACACTCATGGTTTACCACGATACTAATTGGATATATTGGCTGAATACTACTACTCTTATGTGTCGATATCAGTTCAGTGAATGCTGATTATTCTTTTCATTATGGATATTAGTCTAGGATATGTACATAACTAATTATACTCTATAACTGTGTTTCAGGAATTTTGAGTGATGGGGAGACCGAAAAGGCTGCAAAGAGAGCTCTTGAGGGAGAAGGATCATCACAGTAGCCGCCTGATGAACAACCACCACATGTTTCATTTGTCACTTCGGATACCGTTAGTTATTGTTTCCTATACCTTTTCATGGATATCATTTATCTACCTTTGGATACACTCTTGCTTTACCACGATAATGATTGGATGTATTGGCTAAAAACTACTCTGATATGTCGATATCGGTTCTATTTTTGTGGATATTGTTCTATGCATTTTAGTTATTAGTCTAGAAGTTGTGCATATTTATCTTAATATATAACTGTGTTTCAGGAACAAAGCATGACGAAGAGATCCAAAATGGTGGCAAAGAGAGCTCATCAAGGAGAAGGATCAAGGCAACCGCCGCCTGCTCAACAACCACCACAAGTTTAGGAGGAAGATGAGCAATAAGATGATGAGGGAGAGGGACCAGGCGACTCATAGTTCAGATTCCGCAGCTCCACCTTTTTCTTATTCAAAGTGATAAGCTACTGGAAACAAGATGTTGGATACTATGCAGCATGCAAGAAATAAGTCGATAAGGTCGGATTCGGGACCTATTAGACCTTTGAATGCCGAAAATTCTCAATGTCTTCATGGGCGACTTGATGACGGCTTATGACATCTCAACTGGTACTTTTATTTTTGGGGAAGGAGACTCGAAGAAGGTGTTCGACTTCACGCCTGAGGATGTGCCACGTGTGTATTACATTCCTCTAGGTAGGGCTATGGTTGATACGAAGAACATTGAGGGGGCGATGCTCGACAGTTTCAGCAAGGATGTCGGCCTAACTCCCAACAGGAGTCACAATGTACAAATCAAGAAGCTACGAGAGTTGGTCATTCTAGCAGAAGGTCCTACACCACCTGTTGACATGGTTGTCAAGCAATTCTTGTTGCTAGCGACTGGTTCGTTACTCGTGCCAACATTTGCTCGGATGTGCAAACTGGACTTTGCCCCATACATTGGTGGGAGTGTTGAGGACGTTAGGTGGAGAGAGACAGGGGGACAGTGGAGAGCAGGCTGGATCACCTCCTCATCTAGTTTCTCTCTAGTCTTCTCCGCTTGTTTCTCTACCACCTCCTCACTATTCTTCTCTTGAGGATCTTTTTCACATTTCTCTCCAGTATTCTCTACTTGTGGCTCGACATCCTTCTCTCTAGTATAGGTACACCAATCGTACACCCTAACGTCCTCAACACTCCCACCAATATATGGGGCAAAGTCCAGTTTTCACATCCAAGCAAATGTTGGCACGAGCAACGAGCCAGTCGCTAGCAAAAAGAATTGCTTGACATCCATTTCAAGAGCTGGCCTACGACCTTCTGCTGGAATGGCCAACTCCTGCATTTTCTTGATTTGAACATTGCGGCTAGTGTTAGGAGTCATGCCAACATCTTCGCTGAAACTTTCGAGCATCGCCCCCTCAATGTTCTTCAGATCAACCACAACCCGACCTAGAGGAATGTCGTACACACGTGCCCATCCTCAAGTGTGAAGTCTAACACATTCTTCGAATCTCCTTCCCCGAAAATAAAAGTACCGGTTGAGACGTCATAAGCCGCCATCAAGTCGTCCATTAAGACATTGGAAATTTTCGGCATTCGAAGGACCAATAGGCCCCCGAATCAGGCCTTCTCGAATTCTTTCTTGCATGTTGCATAGTATTTGACATCTTGTATTGAGTAGTTTATCACTTTGAATAGGGAAAAGGCGGAGCCGTAGAATCTGAAGTATGAGCGGCTTGGTCCCTCATCATCTTCTTGATCATTTTCCTCATGAACTTGTGGTGGTTGTTGAGCAGGCGGCGGTTGCCTTGATCCTTCTCCTTGACGAGCTCTCTTTTCCACCATTTTGGATCTCTTCGTCACGCTTTGTTCATGAAACACAATTATATATTAAGATAAATATGTACAACTTCCATACTAATATCTAAAATGCATAGAACAATATCCACACTAACGGAACATCAAACGAGTAGTTTTTAGCCAATATATCCAATTATTATCGTGGTAAACCAAGAGTGTATCCAAAGGTAGAAAATGATATCTATGAAAAGGAATAGGAAAGAATAACTAATGGTATCCGAAGTGACAAATGAAACATGTGGTGGTTGTTCATCAGGCGGCTGGTGTGATGATCGTTCTCCCTCAAGAGGTCTCTTTGCAGTCTTTTCGGTCTCCCCATCACGCAAAATTCCCGAAATACAGCTATAGAGTATAATTAGGTATGTATATATCCCAGACTAATATCCATAATGAACATAATAATATCCACATTCACTGAACTGATATCGACACATAAGAGTAGTGGTAGTATTCAACCAATTTATCCAATTAGTATCGTGGTAAACTATGAGTGTATCCTAAGGTATCTTAATGATATCCATGAAACCTAATTACCATAATGCACGGGATAGCATCCAAAGTGGCATAACTGATATCTAGATTCAAGGTCGAGTTGAATGGGAAAGTAAGTCTCTTGATATCCAAAACAAGTATCGAAAGTGACAAAATTGATATCCATGGAACCTTAAATCAAGTAATCGACAAACGATACCCAGATTCCCCAAAATCGAATCCAAGAAACCATAAATTTGGTAATCTAGAAACAAAATACAGAACCTCCAAAATCGAATCCAAGAAACCCTATATATGGTAATCTAGAAACAAAACCCAGAACCTCCAAAATTGAATCCAATAAACCCTATATCTAGTAATCTAGAAATAAAACCCAGAACCCCATATTCGAATCCATGGAATCCTAAATTTATAAATTGAGAAACGAAACCCAGAACCCCCTAATTCGAATTGCATGAACCCTAAATTTAGAAATCGAGAAACGAAACCCATATCTCCTGGGAAAAAAATACTTGAAACCTAACTGAGTATCCACAAAAAAATAATAAAATAACTGAGTATCCTTAACCCCCCCCCCCCCCCCCCCCCCCCCCCCCCCCAGAATTGTGGTTACTTATCAACTATATCGATTTTTTGAAAATTTCGTATAAACTACAAACCAAAGGAATAACGTTAGTGTTAATTTTTTAGTAAGGAAATCAAATTTAGCCCAGCGGAAGGCAACCTTATATTGGAGTCAGCTGACCGAGGGGTCGTTACCATCTCCTTGCATTTATGTCACTTTAATTTTACTTTCTGTTTTAATGTCTTTTTCAGTTTTAATATATCTACATAATTATTCTTACTCATTCAATTTTCACGTTATGGTTTCTTAATTCCCTTAATTCAATATGGTTTATTGACTCATTAAATTTCCAATTTAGTTTTTTTTACCACTCTGCAGTTTTGTATAGCTAAAAAAATAGTCAATTTGACGGGTAAATTACAAGTTTGGTCACTAAAATTACTATAAAGTTCACGTTTGCCAATAAAATTAATTTATTCTATTCGTAGTCACTTAATTAGTTTAACTGTTCAAGTTTGGTCACTAACCGTTAGTCTCCGTTATCTTTATCCTATGTGGCGGTCAACACTTATAATTGACTGTTAAATTATTGATGTGGTAATTAAAAAAATAAAAAAAAATTAATAATATTAAATTTCCACCTCATTATGCCCTACCTCTTCAAAAATAAAAAATATAAAGCTAATTCTTTTAAACCCTCCCAACAGTTGCAAACAGAAACTGGTGCTCAGAGGTAGAGAGTGTTGAGTTACGTAATATATTTGTAGGGCTTTAAGCCCATATACGTTGCATGGAATGTGCGGCCCATGCATTGGGCACTTGTGTTGCCGACTGCCAAAACCCTTAGGGTTATGCTTGTATATATTTGTACCTTCGGAGATCACCAGACTCACTTGAATAAGAACTTTATACGCTTCAGCCGTGGACTAGTCTTGATCACACTGATCAAGGAAACCACGTAAATACTGTGTCGATTTTCTGTTTCGTAAACTCTAACATGGTATCAGAGCCTACGATGCTGGAATCCGATCACATCACCACTCGTCTCAACTCGAAAAACTATGCGCTGTGGGAGTTCCAGATCCGTGTCTATATTAAAGGACAGGGTCTTGTTGGTATGATCAATGGCTCTTCGAAAAAGCCAACGGTGCCGCCTGCATCCGAACAGGAGATGTCGAAGTGGCTCCAGAATGATGCTAGAGTTCGTTCCTGGATTATGAAGTCTGTCGATCCAAATATCGTACTGGGTCTCCGATTGCTGCCGACAGCCGCTGATATGTGGAGGTCTCTCGCCGAAACGTATTCGGCTACAAGTATTGATCGTCAATTCGAGCTTGAAGTTGAGCTGGGGAATCTTCGTCAAGGTAACCTTGATGTCGCATCCTATTTTAATGCTGCTAGACTTTTATGGACTGAACAAGACTTGGTCTCGGCTGCACTGCTTTCCACTCCAATTTCGGTTGAGATGCAAGCCGAGAAGAATAGAATAAGGCTTCTTCAATTTTTGTCCAAATTGAAGCCTGATTTTGATGCTGTGCGTTCCACACTGTTGAACCGGGAAAGCTTGACTATTGAAGGCATCCTTGGTAATCTGGTACGGGAAGAAACGAGGCTGCGTACGCAGGCCTCCATTGATGCGCGGCCAGGGGTGCATGAGGCCTCTGTCTTTGCTGCTGTTGCTCCGCAGGCAGGTAGGAGCTTGGGCCGTGGAGATCGCGGCGATCGCGGAGGGTATCAGGTGCCGACAGAAGGAGATTCTCAAGTTGCTGCTCCTCATGCTTCTGATGATCAGGTATATGCGGCATATCGGCCACCGCAGCAACGCCGTGATGTTGAATGCCACCACTGTCGAGCTAAGGGTCACACCCAAAAGTATTGCCGAAAACGCAATTTTTGCGTGTACTGTAAGAAATCCGGGCATATTATACCTGATTGCAAGGCTCTTCAAGCTCGGATGAACAACAATGCTGGCGAGGGCACCTCTTCTCGTCCAGTGTATGCGACGCATGCTTCTCCACCACCAGAGGGCACAGTTGTCACGACCGCTACCTTGGAGCAGCTTGTTTCGAAGGCTATTGCCTCTGCCTTCTCTAGTCTTCAAGTATCGGGTAAGTTACCTACGTGGATCCTCGATTCGGCTTGCTTTAACCACATGACTAGTGATGCCTCTATTATTTCCAATACTCGCCCTGTCACTAATCTTTCATTACAAGTTGCGGATGGGAATAGACTACAGGTAGCTGGCATGGGAGTGGTAAAGGCCTCGAATGTGTCTCTCCCTAACACCCTATATGTGCCTAAAATTGTTCCCAGTCTCGTATCCGTCGGGCAGTTAACTGATCATGGTTGTCGTGTCGTGTTTGCACCTTCTGGCTGTCTTGTGCAGGATCTGAAGACGGGGCGGGAGATAGGAAGGGGGAGTAAGCATGGATGGGTGTTTCACTTGGACAAGCTTGAGGATCTGCCGCCATTATCATCATCATTGTCATCGTCCTCCATGTCTTCGGTGTCTAGGGTACCTTTGGATTCTGTTCCTGTGTTTTCGAGTCTAAACGATCATGTTTTTAAATTGTGGCATTCTCGTATGGGTCATCCCCATTCGAGTAGACTTTCGGCTATGTTTCGGCAAAACTTATTTGGCAAAACTCGTGTGGGACAACCTGATTTTCAGTGTACGAGCTGCGTAGAGGCTAAAACTACTCGATCTACTTTTCCTTCTAGTAAGACGGTTATTACGGAGCCATTTCATTTGATACATAGTGACTTATGGGGTCCCAGTCCTGTCACTTCTCGCCATGGGTATAAGTATTTTGCCCTTTTTATTGATCATGCCACACGATATACTTGGGTCTATTTCTTGCGGCTGAAATCTGACCTCTTAGCCATTGCCACTGAATTTTTAACTATGATCAAGACTCAATTTGATAGGTCAGTTCGTGTAGTTCGCTCCAATGAGGGAGGTGAGTTTAGTTCTAATCCGCTCCTTTCCCTTTATCGTGAGCTTGGTATATTGCATCAGAAAGCCTGTCCTGGTGTCTCCCAACAAAATGGGGTTGTTGAGCGTAAAAATCGTCATGTTTTAGAAGTAACCCGAGCTCTTCTTCTTGCGTCTCATGTTCCCTCTACCTTTTGGCCTGAAACTGTCTCCACCAGTGTCAAACTTATTAACTATCAGATTACTCCGGTGTTAGGTCAATCTTTTTGAAACTCTTTTCGAAACCTCCTCCATACTCTCGGTTACGTGTTTTTGGGTGTCTTTGCTTTGTGCTTCTTCCCCGGTCTGAACGAACCAAACTTTCCTCAAAGACTGCGCATTGTGTGTTTCTATGTTATAGTGACATACATAAGGCCTATCTTTGTTTTGATCCTTCTCATAAACGTATTCGAGTCTCATGTAATGTCGTTTTCCTTGAGAATGTGATGTACTTTTCGCCTGAAGCTTCCGAGTCTTCTCCTCTGTTTGACACGTCTATGAGTCTACCTTCCTTCTCTGATTTTGATGATGATGATGATGATCCTCAGCTCCCCCTGATCCCTCTCCACCTCCTACTCCGCCCCACTCTCCCATGTCATCGTCCTCCTCTTGCAGTTCTTCTCCACCTGACTCTCCGACTTCTGCTGTCACCACACCCGAGGATGTTCCACCTGTTCGGCGCTCTCTTCGAGCTAATCTCGGGCAGCCTCCTGCTCGCTATCAGCATTTTGTTTCTTATCAGGTAGATCCTATTCCGGTTCCGACGAAGTATTCCCAGGCTAAGGGCAATCCCAACTGGGACAAAGCTATGCGAGAGGAAGAGGATGCCCTTCATGCCAACAACACATGGGAGCTGGTACCTCGTCCTCCGCCATCGATACCAGTGATCGGCTCTCGCTGGGTTTATGCATTGAAGGTTCTTCCTGATGGTACGATAGAGCGATTCAAAGCTCG